TAGGTCCAATCCACCCAGTCAGTCCACACTAAACTAGGTCGGGCAGGGTGGGGTGGGTCCAATCACAGTCAGTCCACTAAACTAGGTCAGGCAGGGTGGGAGTGGGTCAATCACCCAGTCAGTTCACAGTAAGCCTAGGTCAGGCAGGGTGAGGGTAGGTCAATCCCAGTCAGTCCCACACTAAACCTAGGTCAGGCAGGGTGGGAGTAGGTCCATTACCCAGTCAGTCCACAGTAAACTAGGTCAGGCAGGGTGGGGAGTGGTCCAATCACCCAGTCAGTCTACATTAAACTAGGTCAGGCAGGGTGGGAGTAGGTCAATCACCCAGTCAGTCCACACTAAACTAGGTCAGGCAGGGTGGGAGTAGGTCAGTCACCCAGTCAGTCAGTCAGTCTATAGTAAGCTAGGTCAGACACTATGACACAACTGACGAAGGCTTATGACAACCTAACCTAACCTAACCTAACCTAACCTAACCTAACCAGATGATTGAATACCCTAATGATACCTGAAGGAGGTTAGGTTAGGTTTAGGTTAGGTTAGAAGAAGAAGAAGAAGAAGGAGGAGGAGGAGAATAAAGAAGAAGAACAAGAAGAACAAGAGGAAGAACAAGAAGAAGAAGAAGAAGAGGAAGAAGAAGAAGAAGAAGAACAAGAGGAAGAACAAGAAGAGGAAGAAGAACAAGAGGAAGAACAAGAAGAAGAAGAAGAACAAGAGGAAGAACAAGAAGAAGAAGAAGAACAAGAGGAAGAACAAGAAGAAGAAGAACAAGAGGAAGAACAAGAAGAAGAAGAAGAAGAAGAACAAGAAGAAGAGGAGAAGAAGAACAAGTAACCAACCACCATTATCGTTATCTCTCTACAACAGCTTATCAGTATTATAGATAGTGACTCAGACCAGCCCAAAATACCCCCCCCCCTCCCCACTTATCTTTAGGAGGCGGGGTGGAAGATACAGGGAGGAGGGGGTGGGAGGGGTAGGGAGTTTAGAAATCCGTTAATACCGTTGAAAAAAATCCGTTAATACCGTTAAAAAAAATCCGTTAATACCGTTAAAAAAATCCGTTAATACCGTTGAAAAAAATCCGTTAATACCGTTGAAAAAAATCCGTTAATACCGTTGAAAAAAATCCGTTAATACCGTTAAAAAAAATCCGTTAATACCATTGAAAAAATCCGTTAACCAAATACCGTTAAAATAAGATAAAATCCGTTAGTTAACCTCCAAACGGCTGGGAGTCAAACGAATCTTTCTAAATAAGGAAATAAAAAAAAACTCTTAAAGGATAACACCGATAGATTGTGGTGTTATCTACGGTAATCTTATGAGGAACTGATAACTGTGTGAGATAACTGTAAGGGGTGACTTCTTCTGCACACACACACAGTACAAAATGAGATTCATTAACCAACAAGACCAAAAAGTAGCATAAAGTAGCAATAAGTAGCAAAAGTAACGAAAAGTAACAAAAGTAGCAAGTAAAAAAAAAGTAGCAAGTAACAAAAAAGTAACATAAAGTAACAAAAAATAGCAAAAGTAACAAGTAACAAAAGTAGCAAGTAACAAAAAGTAGCAAGTAACAAAAAAGTAGCAAAAAGTAGTGGTGAATAGCCATACAAAATATATCCAAGGGAAAGTATATATTTTTTTTGTCCATTAAAATAGTTTTCATATAATAATAAATTATTCATATATATATAGGCGTCATATGTAGGGTGACCCGGAAAAAAATATCTCTCCCTTCCTGCTCCCTGCTTGCTCCCTATCTCCCTGCCTGTTCCCTGTGTTCCTGCCTACTCCCTGCTCTGCCTCCCTCCCTTATCCCTGCCTCTCTCCCTGCCTCCAAACTCACAGTGTCTGAGGAAGTAGGCAGGGAGGGAAGCAGGGAGGGAAGCAGGGAGGGAAGCAGGGAGGGAAGCAGGGAGGGAAGCAGGGAGAGACATTTTTCTGGGATCACTCTACAGCAGATAGACATAGGAAGAACACAGTCGATGCATTATACACCAGGACAGTCGATGCATTATACACCAGGACAGTCGATGCATTATACACCAGGACAGTCGATGGATTATACACCAGGACAGTCGATGCATTATACACCAGGACAGTCGATGCATTATACACCAGGACAGTCGATGCATTATACACCAGGACAGTCGATGCATGATACACCAGGACAGTCCATGCATTATACACCAGGACAGTCGATGCATTATACACCAGGACAGTCCATGCATTATACACCAGGACAGTCCATGCATTATACACCAGGACAGTCGATGCATTATACACCAGGACATCGATGCATTATACACCAGGACAGTCGATGGCCCACAGGACAGTCGTGCATTATACTGGGACAGTCGATGCATTATACACCAGGACAGTCGATGCATTATACCTGGACAGTCGATGCATTATACCAGACAGTCGATGCACGTTGCGCCACCAACCAGGACAGTCGATGCATTGTACAGCAGGACGGTCGATGCGTATACACCAGGACAGTCGATGCGGCGTTATACACCAGGACGGTCGATGGTACACACCAGGACGGTCGATGCATTATACACCAGGATGATCGATGCATTATACACCAGGACAGTCGATGCATTATACACCAGGACAGTCGATGCATTATACACCAGGACAGTCGATGCATTATACAGGACAGTCGATGCATTATACACCAGGACAGTCGATGCATTATACACCAGGACAGTCGATGGATGATATAGGGGAACATTATCGATGAATCATTATAATATATAAGAACGCACCACAGTTTATTAACATAAAATATAGGAACATCTTATAACAGGGTCTAGTGACACATAAACGGACCTCGAAATGAACTCACTTTGTTTCTACCGTCCCACGACTGTCTCGAAGCACTGAGGGCTATTTCGAAGCTTTGAGTACCGTTTCGAAGCTTTGAGTACCGTTTCGAAGCTTTGAGTACCGTTTTGAAGCTTTGGGTATCGTTTTGAAGCTTTGAGTATCGTTTTGAAGCCCTAAGCACCATTTCGAAGCTCTGAGCACCATTTTCAAGCTTTGAGTACTGTCCCCAAACCCCTGAGTAATAATCCGAACCCTGTGAACACCTTCCTGAAACTCTAAACATTAATTGGGTAATGAGAATATCGTCTGAGTGCTGTCTCGAACACTATGAGCACTGTGTTGAACCTCTAAACACTGTATTGAAGCCCTGACCACTGTTTGAAGCCCTGACAACTGTTTTGAAGTCATGACCACTTTTTTGAAGCCCTGACCACTGTTTTGAAGCTCCCATTAATGTCTCGAACACTATGAGCACTGTGTTGAACCTCTAAACACTGTATCGAAGCCCTGACCACTGTTTTGAAGTCATGCAGAGTCCATGACCACTGTTTTGAAGCCCTGACCACTGTTTTGAAGCCCTGACCACTTTTTTAAAGCTCCTATTGCTGTCTCGAACACTCTAAGCACTGTGTTGGACCCCTAAACACTACTTCAAAAGCTCTAATCACTGTTTCAAGTTCTAAACACTTTCCTTCGAACACTCTAAGTATGTTTCCAAAACTTTGAGTAGCGTTTCGAATCTTTTGAACCTAGTTTCGATCTTCTAAACACCATCTTTGAACCACTGAACAACAGTTACGAATTCACTGATAAGCATCCCGAAGTTCCGTATCGAATCCTTTGAGTATCGCTTCGAATCTCTGTTGATGATGGTTCTGAAACCTATGAACAGATTTGAACCTCTGTGAATCTTCCCAAGCCTCCTTTAGACACCGACTAAACCCACAACCAATCACTGTCTCGAAACACAGGAGACCCACCAATCACTGTCTCGAAACACAGGAGACCCACCAATCACTGTCTCGAAACACAGGAGACCCACCAACCACTGTCTCGAAACACAGGAGCCCCACCAATCACTGTCTCGAAACACAGGAGACCCACCAACCACTGTCTCGAAACACAGGAGACCCACCAATCACTGTCTTGAAACACAGGAGACCCACCAATCACTGTCTCGAAACACAGGAGCCCCACCAATCACTGTCTCGAAACACAGGAGACCCACCAATCACTGTCTCGAAACACAGACTCGAAACATTCCAAACCCACTGTCAATATTTTCCTTGTCAAGTGAATGTTGTTCAGAGTGTATCCATGAGTCAATCAGACACACTTACTAAAAGATATACACTTACACTTACACTTCCCTTCTATAAATTATCTTGTATTTCAATGATTAAACACCGCAACGCTATAACTGGAGGGGTTAGGTTAGGTTCGGTTTTAACTATTTTGTAATACCTTTTAGTTATGTTGGCGCCTTAGGTCAATATTACGCCATTTTGGACAATATCAACAATTATTTTGGACTATTTAACACATGAACCCTTGAGAATCGTTTCACTGACAACAAAAACAATAATATATAACTACTTCTCAGATCAGATGGCGGGGGGGGGAGGGGTCACCACTTTCTGGGCCCCTTGACCCCTTGAGTGACGATGACTTAACCCCACCTTGAGTACAGTGTCATCGTAATCAAAGAAATAAGTCATCGTACTCAAGGGGTAAAGTCATATTTAAAAAGGTATCCTGCCAACTCAGAGGAATATATCTCGTTAACCATGATAGTTCAATACTTAAGACTAAAACCCGTTACATTTACACACACATATGTTTAATGGTAATAATAATAGCATGATAGAGGCAGGAGAGAGCCGGCAGGATAGACAGGCTGGTGGGCGGCAAGGTGGTGTTGTGTGGTCAGTCAGAGGGACACGAGTTGTGTCTGTCCCCTGGTAAGGTAGATCTCATTGCTTCGACACATCTTCAAATCCACATCAGGTGATAATATCAACCTCAACCTCCTCCACTGCTAGCTGAACCATCCATCCATCCACCATTCCACCCTCCATCTCTCCACCTCTCCCTGTGGAAACATTTAAAAACATGTTAACATAACGGGAATAGAACAACAAGGGTAAAGTTCTCCCTACCTGCTGACGTGTGGTGAGAATACTCTTCGTTCTGAAGTACCAGTAGATGGCCTGGGCACCACAGAACAACACCACGGAGAGGAGTATCACAGCGTGCCAGTTCTGCTGTAGGATGAACACAGCAATGAGGGCCAAGTCTGCGAGGAGCAACAGAGGCGATAACATAGCCACAACCACGGGTAGCCTCAATACCCGCCTCCACGATTCTCCATTCTCGTTCTCCATCGCCCACGTAGTCTAGGCTGAGCTTCACAGGCTGTCCTAGAATAACTGGGACTACCTTTACCTGCCCTTTATATAACTTATTGGGTAATGGATTAACAGGTAGAGTACAGGTCATCCCAGGTGAAGGATGTTACTGGATAGACGTGATAACTCTACTCAGCATGAAGCTCGACTGCTGAGGGTGACGTGACGTGGTGACCGAGGGGGCTGACTCCAAGACACCGCGCATGCGTACAACACCTCGTGGCTAGGAACATGTGACGTCACGGCCTACATCAGCTACTAGCGCCTCACGTTCTCCCCCTCAACAACCTCCCCCAATCCCCCCCCTCTACCCCCTCCCTACCCTCCACCCCCCCAAGATAACATACTCCGGCAAGATAACACTCGACTCACGCATGCTTGACGATACCAAGGAACTACCCACTCAAGTACACTTATACAAACACACTTATACACACACACGCTCAAGTACAGATACTTCACTACACCTGTATAATGACCACCACACCTGTATAATGACCACCACACTAGTATAATAACCACCACACCTGTATAATTACCACCACACTAGTATAATAACCACCACACCTGTATAATGACACCCACATCTGTATAATGACCACCACACCTGTATAATGACCACCACACAGTATAATAACCACCACACCTGTATAATGACCACCACACCTGTATAATGACACCCACATCTGTATAATGACCACCACACCTGTATAATAACCACCACACCTGTATAATGACCACCACACCTGTATAATGACACCCACACCTGTATAATGACCACCACACTTGTATAATGATCAGGTAGGCAACGCGGGTGTATATATTTCACCTGTTATCATTATCAATATTAATAATTAGGAAGTTTATCGACATTCAGACGGACACACATGGCGGGGTTTTCCACAGGTAGATAGTGACTGATTAGAGAACCAGCTGTGTCGCGTCTCAACCAGCTGTGGTGTGTGTTAACCAGCTGTGTCGCGTCTGAACCAGCTGTGGTGTGTGATAACCTTAACTGATAGACAGAAACAACATTCCAATTTGAGGTCAATGATTTGGCGTTTTTCGCGAGGTTGTGGAAAATTTTCGCGAGTTGTTCTGTCTCTCTTAAGCCTCGCCAAACTTTCCACAGAACTATTTGTCTGTTTGTCGATACCAGGAGTCGACGCTGCTCAGATCAACAGAGGAGGGATTACCTAACCTAACCTAACCTAACGCTTATAGACATGAGAGAGAGAGAGAGAGTATGAGTTTAGTGGTCTTGTGGAGAGAGAGAGAGAGAGAGAGAGAGAGAGAGAGCCAAACCCGGAAGTCATCACCTTAACTACCCACCAAGTTATTATCTATGGTGTATAGTTCACATTGAGACACAGTTGACCTTGACCACACAGTGTGATAGTACACCCGAGAGAGAGAGAGAGAGAGAGAGAGAGAGAGAGAGAGAGAGAGAGAGAGAGAGAGAGAGAACATAAGAATGGAGGACACTGCAGCGGGCCATACTGGACAGTCCCCTTTACACCCAACCCCTATCGCTCATATATCCATCCAACCTGTGTTTGAAGCTATCCAGCGTGTTAGAGTTAATGATGATGTTTGGTAACTTGTTCCACTCGTCCACTACTCTATTTCCAAACCAATGTTTACCTATCTCGCGCCTAAATCTAAATTTGTCTAATTTAAAACCATTGTTACGAGTTCTCTCCTGGTTGGATAGTTTGAGTACCTTTGTAATGTCACCTTTGTTCAGCCCTGACTTCCCCTTA